TCTCAAAGAACAGAGATTCTACCCACCTCCTCCCCAGACAAGCTGTTCCATGGCTGCATTATGTTCCTAGTGGAAAAGTTCTCCCATCTTCATCTCCCAGGCTGTATTTTTGGCTATTACTCCTTGTTATACTAGGTTTCTCAAGTCTACGGTCTCCCTTTGCAGCGGTGATGCTGCTCCTCCCTGCCACTCAAGGAGACACTTGCCATAGGCAGAAATTAAAACAGTAGCAAACTTGAAGAGTGGCGGCTGCCGGGTGGTGGAGTCCTTCGCACCCACCCTGGTGAGGTGTAGAGAACCGGATGCCACGGACGTGTCCCCGCTGCTCTTGTCACTGCTGGGACTGCGCCTGGGGGTGACGCGGGGCCGTGAAACGTTGGGCGAAGCAGCTGTTTCAACAGAAGGCAGGTAGTCCGGTCAGGTGCCATAGGGGGGGAAAAAACACAGACACGCTGGCCTGCCGCTGGCCTCAGAGAGGGCATTCTCCAAACAGCATTGCTAACTACGCCAAGGCACGCCATGATCTAATTCTGTGAACTCCTAACGTTCCTCCTAGGGTTTCACTGAAATTCAGATTATTTTTTTGGGGGTTGTTTTTCCTGACAGGGGATTTATGAGAACACTTTTTCCACTCGGTTTTCCAACAATGTGGTAATAAAAGGGTCTCGTCCAGGTTTTGTAGTGGGGTTGCCAAAACTCAAGTGCGATGTAGTAAATCAGCTCCAAGCTGCAAGTTCTGCTAGTTGTCACCTGAATGGATCGTGGATTTCAGTATCACAATCTTCTCATCTGCACTAAAAATGGGACGCTGAAGCAAAATACAGGTTTGATAACAAATGAAAAGTCTCAAAAGCCTTAGCCAAAAAAAGAAAACAAAGAGCGAATCGACATTGCACGGAGGTTTCAGTTCAGGCAGGAAAGTCTCCTTGCAAGTGTCGTCCCCAAGACTGCGGCCCGGCTTGTACAGCAATGCCTAGACACCAGACCAGGACTGGGAATGCCCTACCCGCCACCCGTTATTCTGAAACCCGGGGAGCAGGGGGCTCTGGTTTTACACTTGCTACGGCTGATTCTGGATCGAAGTTTTAAACCTTTCCTTTTTTTGGGGGGAGGGCTATAATCTACTAATTGTGGGTGTTTAGAACAAAGTTTCCACGAGTCCAAAACAGTCATCCATTTTTGTTTGAGATACACATTAGTGTTATTGTAGACAAGTAACATTTTCTCCTTCTAATAAGTAATTAAACACAACATTTCTGTGGCCTTTAGTCAGAGGTGGCAGTTCACTAGCAAACAGTGGCATACTTGGAGTTTGTCAGTTTAATTCTATACTCGATTTGTAACAATCTAGCAACTACTTTAATCACAAAAAGAAACGCAAACTGAACTGGCTGCAGAGGAAGCCAGGACTTGGCCGCAGAAGCCTTACGGACTGTTTCATATAGGTAATGAAATCAAGAGCAGCCAGTGTAACAAAAGCGCCTTTTCTCAAGTCAGAAGAGCAGCGGTATTGCAACGAAAACCCTCTAAACTCAGGATATGGCACGTTTTGGCTGTATTTAGGGATGGATTAGTAAAACCACCCAACCTGAAGGCAAAAGAAGACTGAGCCATGTTTGTACGAGATACAGAGTCGTAGCTAACTACCGACTACATTTCTCTAAGGTCCTCAAACTCTTAACTCACTTCCACGAATGCTCCTTTGGATTAGAACGTGCCGCCATCCAAGCAAACGCTGGTGGAGAGATACAGAGGATTGCGCTTCTCTGCCTGTGGAGCAGAGACTTTCCAACAGAGCAGCTTGTCTGCTGCTTTTGGAGGAGGGAGGTTATCGTCCGAAACGCGCTAAACCAGATCTAAGGGCACTGGGTTAAACCAAGCGCAGCGGGCTGCACGTGTGGGCGTGGGGAGAGACGGGCGCTGGGGACACCTTCCCCAGAGCACGGCCCGTGCCACTGGGAGCGCAGGCTGTGCCTCATCGTGTCGCTCCTCAGAGGCTCTTCGGTGATGACGGCACCGGTGCTCCGAAGGTCAACAGCTGCCTCCAGCGTGGAGCAATAGGAAGACGACGTTTTCGTGCCATTTGATTTCTTCGCCGTCTTTCACACGCTCCGTTTCTGTTTGTCGTTACATCCCCCGCTCCGTTACTCTCTTGCCACCAGCCGCTCGCGTGGACCCCAGGGAAAACAAACTCCGGGCACCCCAACGGGAAATGTGTAGGCTGACGGGAGCCTTGGAAGTTTAACTCACTACAGTGTGTTTTCATGAGATTCAGTGATCGTTGTGCCACAGCTAACGCTGGAATTGCAATTTCTTCCGTTCTGTTTAGTTTAAAGGTCTCCCGCAGCCTTTGGAGTGTTTCCTGTGACCCTTTTCAGATGCGCTTTGCTAACGCAGATGCAAGAACTTCCCTTTGAGCTTTCCTGCAAAGAGCACAGCCAGAAACCGACACTTGCCATTTTCACTGAAGCATCATCATGTTTTCCTTCAGAACTGTGTCTTAAAATTCATTTCCTGTGTATCTAGATGCTCTTGTGACCATCTTCACCTAGGAAAAGCCACTACCTCTAGCCACAGTGCACTGACTTAACTGCAGA